CTTCTTTTCCTGACAACAAAAAAAAGGAAAAAAGATTTAAAATCCCTGGAACTTAAAAATAAAATTCATGAAAAACAGCCTTTTTTGTAGTTAACTTTAGTGTCATCACCAATAAATATTATCTCACACAGAGTACTGTGTGTTTACAATACTTAAATTCCATTAAGAAGCCAACAGAAACAGACCAATCATGCATTACATTCAAATTAAATTAGTTTTCTAAGGTCGTCTCTACCCAGGGATACTCTAGAAAGTTAAAGTGAATCAGCTAAAAGTGTGAAGTCAATTCACATAAATTAAAACACATTAAACCCTCTTGTGTATGCTTTAATTCAGGAGGGAAGTGGCCTTAGTTCACTCTGACTTAATTCTCCCAAGAGGATTCGCCTTAACTTTTCTGAATGTCTCTTTGCAGACAAGCCCTAAGTATTAGTGAAGGAACTTTCAGTGGCCATGTCTATACTGGGAAAATAGTATCAGGTTAGAATACGTTAACACCATTTGACTAATAATTTTGAACACAACTGAGCACATAGCATACAAAGAGACAAGCCATGTTCAGAAACACATTAGCTTGGTTAAATGCTAAGACCCTCCCCACAACCAGGTACCAAGCTTTCAAACATGACTTTTCCTGTTCACACTAAAGGCAAAATTGTGTTTAACATCATGCTAGTGAAGATATGTTAGGGAACACGTTTTCTAGAATGCATTTTCCCAGTGTAGACAGTACCTTGGAGAAAAAATATCTTGCACTTCTAAGGTACTATTCATTCACTCTACTAGAAACTATGGTGGGATCTTGGCCTTGTTAAAATCAATGGGACTTGTGACATGGACTTAATTAGAGCAAGAATGTCATGCTATGATTCTCTACTCCCTTTCCCCTTGTAAAGTCATTTACACCTGTTCAAAGTTAGTTCAAAGCAGGTGTAAAACACCTCATTGTCCAAATGAGAGCAGAATTCGAATATGGTAACTTTTTACATCCATTTTGTACCAGTTGCAATGCCGTGGAAAAATAGGTTCAGAAGGTTTAACAGTGTTTGCCATATCAAGCCAGCCCCTTTTACTTCAATGACAAATTGTCATTTGTACTCCAAAATTCCTTCAGAGAAGACCCTAATATATCTCAAAGGCTAGGTGTATGATACAGAGGAGAAAAGAAGAATTTCCCTCTCAGGAGAAAAATCTCACTTAAAAAAAAAAACCTGCCTGGGATTGGACACCATACTTTCTAAAAGAAAAAGTCTGCAGTAATCAAAGGAAATGCTTTCACTGCTATAGTGCTATCATAACAGATGGTTTGGCTACCTCTTACAATACCAGGAAAGGCCAATTGAATCACAGGGGGTAATACAATGCAAATTAAAACTCTCACCACCATCTTCCACTTTGCCATTACATAAACACAGTTGATGATATGATCATCATTTACTATTATTTGGGGGAGGGGAGTGGCTCTCAGGAGAGGTCTCACAGAGGCTGCACACCAACTATTCACTTTGAGGGCCTATCAGCTTCAAAACAAAACAATAATATTTGCACCTATATAGAACCTTCTATCCAGAATTCTCAAATAACTTTATTAAGGTTAATTAACTTAGCTTCACAAGATCTCTGTGGGGCAAGTATCACCCGCTTTTGTAGATATCACCTGTAACACAGAGTGATTAAAGGCCAAACAAAGTAAATTAGGCCTAACTTTTAGGCACCTAAAAAATTGCTGGAATTGATAACACCTGAATTAGACTTCTCGGCTCTCTATACCATGAATAGGGAGAGGTAGGTACCTCCAAACGGGATTCACAAAAGCCAGCACACTAGGAAGATCCTGCCTATGGTAGCCAATGGGAGATGTTGAGGAGAAGGCCTAAGCCGTGCCCTTCTTAGAGTATGTCTGTACTACAGTGTAAGTCTGTGCTTGAGCCTGGGCTCAAGCCTAACCCTCCCTTGCATCTATATACTCCAATTACGCTAATCCAGGGCTCAGACCAACGGTCCCAAGTCCCTGCAGGGTTGCAGGGTTCAAGTTCAAGTTAAAACAGGACCAAGGGTCTGAGCCCTATTGCTTTCCAGTGTAGATGCAACCACGTTTGACTCTGGTCATGGAAGTCAGCCAGAAATATCCCAGAATTCTGTGGGACAACTTCCTTAGTCCTCTCTATCACAACAATCTGCAGTCCACTCTATTGAAAATGGAAGTCACCCCCCTTTGCGAACAGCATTAGCTCAGGACAGTGTTGTTAATCCATCCTCTTCTGATCACTGATCTGCAAGCACACTATCAGAGAGACTTCTGGGTTTGCAATGGAGAGTGAACCGAACAAGACTTTTGCAAAGCGAGCTGATTCCTGGTAACACACAGGGCGGGCAGTAAAGTTTTCCCACAATGCACCATGGTCCTAGGGCTAGAGTGGCCACATTTCAGTGGGGATTCTCAGCTGCAAACCCTTTTTTGGTGTTAGGTGCCTACGTCATTTTTGCTGCCACTGAAGCAGGATGACCCACATCATTTTTAGGCCACTGACTAGGGTCCTCACCTAGAATATGGGAGACCTCCAGTTCACTTCCTCCTCCACCTGAGGGTGAGAAGAGATTTGAACAGGGATCTGCCACATCTCAGCTGAGTGCCCTAGCTACTGAGCTATGGGATATTCTAACATAAAGTCCCTCCATCTCTCCTATTGAAAATATTTCAATGTGGATAAATAATTAAAATTGTTGTAGTAGGGGGAGTGGATCATGGGTCTCCCTACATTCAGATGACTGCTCGAACCACCAGGCTATAGAGTAGGGGTCGGCAACCTTCGGCCAGGAACAGCAAACAGTGGTCACTGGGAGCTGCAGGGGGCTGTGCCTGCGGATGGTAAACATAAACAAAATGTCTCGCAGCCCGCCAGCGGATTACCCTGATAGGCTGTGTGCCAAAGGTTGACAATCCCTGCTATAGAGTTATCCTCATGTCTGCTCTCATAGAATCATAGAAGATTAGGGTTGGAAGAGACCTCAGGAGGTCATCTAGTACAACCCCCTGTTCAAAGCAGGACCAACACCAACTAAATCATCCCAGCCAGGGATTTGTCAAGCTGGGTCTTAAAATCCTCTAAGGATGGAGATTCTACCACCTCCCTAGGTAACCCATTCCAGTGCTTCATCACCCTCCTAGTGAAATAGTGTTATCTAATATCCAACCTAGACCTCCCCCACTGCAACTTGAGACCATTGCTCCTTGTTCTGTCATCTGCCACCACTGAGAACAGCCAAGCTCCATCCTCTTTGGAACCCCCCTTCAGGTAGTTGAAGGCTGCTATCAAATCCCCCCTTACTCTTCTCTTCTGCAGACTAAATAAGCCCTGTTCCCTCAGCCTCTCCTCGTAAATCATGTGCCCCATCCCCCTGATCATTTACGCTGCCCTCTGCTGGACTCTCTCCAATTTGTCCACATCCTTTCTGTAGTGGGGGCCCCCAAAACTGAACGCAATACTCCAAATGTGGCCTCACCAGTGCCAAATAGAGGGGAATAATCACTTCCTTCGATCTGCTGGCAATGCTTCTACTAATACAGCCCAATATGCTGTTAGCCTTCTTTGCAACAAGGACATACTCTTGACTCATATCCAGCTTTTCGTCCACTGTAATCCCCAGATCCTTTTCTGAAGAATTGCCGCTTAGCCAATCGGTCCTCAGCCTGTAGCGGTGCATGGGATTCTTCTGTCCTAAGTGCAGGACTCTGCACTTGTCTTTGTTGAATCTCATGAGATTTCTTTTGGCCCAATCCTCCAATTTGTCTAGGTCACTTTGTACCCTATCCCTTTTCTCCAGTATATCTACCGCTCCCCCCAGCTTTGTGTCATCTCCGAACTTGCTGAAGGTGCAATCCATCCCATCATCCTGATCATTAATAAAGATATTGAACAAAACTGGCCCCAGGACTGACCCCTGGGTTAGTCCACTTGATACCGGCTGCCAACTAGACATTGAGCCGTTGATCACTACCTGTTGAGCCTGACAATTTAGCCTGCTTTCCATCCACCTTATCGTCCATTCATCCAAGCCATACTTTTTTAACTTGCTAGCAAGAATACTGTGGGAGACCATATCAAATGTTTTGCTAAAGTCAAAGATATATCACGTCCACTGCTTTCCCCATACCCATAGAGCCAGTTATCTCATCATAGAAGGCAGTCAGGTTGGTCAGGCATGGCTTGCCCGTGGTGAATCCATGTTGGCTGTTCCTGATCACCTTCCTCTCCTCCAAGTGCTCTCCCCTCCTTCTCCCAACCTCTGGCTCAATGACTCTTTCATTATTTATTCACAACAGAACAGCTTCAACAGAGAGACTAAGGGAGCCCCACATCAGAATATCCTATAGCCCTGTGGCTAGGGCACTCCCCTGACTCCCAGTTCCCATCTTTTGTCCAGGTGAGAGGTGGCAGATCTCTGTTCAAATCCCTTTTTCTCCTCAGGTGGAAGGGGGAATTGATCTGACGGTCTTCCACACCCCTGCTGAGTACGCTTATATTATACTGGGATAAAAATTATAAGGGAGATCCTCATACAGCTCACCTCCCTTGGTGGGAGGGGCATTTTATGTGATTTCACCTATTGGGCCTGATCCGGTAGGTGAACACAGAGCACACTTACTGGATCGGAGCCCACAGATGAGTTAGGTTGGGGAATGCCAATCTTTCCCCCATTTGTACATCTCTCTGGTGCTTAATCATCGTGCTGCCCAGTGTGGGGCTGCACTGTACACATGTACAGATAGAAGTGTGGGAATTTACACTGCAAAAATGTAGGCACCAAGTGAGTTTATGCGCCTATGGTGTTCAGAAATTGCTGGATGGCCTGTGTGAATCCCAATGGGGCCTGATTCTGGGATTTAGGCACTGGGAGTGGCAGTTAGGCATCTAAGTCCCTTTGTAAATCTAGCCCTTAGTCTCTCTGTGCATCAGTTCCCCATCTGTACTACTTGCCTGCCAAACGTTGGTGTCAAG